TTCTGAAATGTGACAGGGTTTGGAGAGAGATGAGGGAGGAGCCTTGGGGTGGAATTTCTGCCAGAACATTCCAGACTCTTTGGGTATATAGATGCCAGGGGCTGGGGTGAAGCTTCCAGCAGAACACGAATACCAACTCATTCCCACCCTGGGGGTAGGATGGCAGCAGTGGTGGTTCAGGGTGGGGGCATGAAGAGGGAGGGCAAACTCCTCCTGGGAGCCCTGTGATTTTGTGTTACAGTGTCACGCGCACACGCACACACTCAGAGGACTTAGGGATGGCAACTGTAAAGCCCTGAGCTCCAGCTGCAGCACCCTTCAAATGCCAGGCCCTAGGGGATGCAGGATCCACAGGAGTGCCGATGAGCGACTGCAGATTCACAGGACCGAAGACTCTTGTTCAGTAGGGTCCTGGCAGGAGGAGGGTGGGGACAGGAGCGGTCCTGGCAGCTGAGCAGAGAGCAGGGCTGTGGTCAAGCTAGTGTGTGAATGAGAAGGGGGTCAAAGCAGCATTTCCTCGGAGAAGGGAAGCTGGGGGCTCCGCTGCCCCTGAGAACCCTGCAGAACCGAGCAGGCACCGAATGAAGGATGTCTAGTGGAATCTGAGCTGCATTCCTGTGGGCTGGAATCCGGGCAAGGAAACTCTAACCTAACCAGTTACTGGAAGATCAAAGTTTTTGTGGCATGCTTTTCAAGGGGTTTTAGCTTCTTGCAAAATGAAGCCCCTTACATATCAACAAATCTGTGTGTGAGCAGACGATCGCAACCGCAGACTCCTAGCAGGGAGAAGCAGTAGATGACCCGAAAGGCTCCTTCAGACCCCACGTTTTTGTTTGTTTTGATCCAAGCTGCAGAATTTCCGTGCTGTGTATCATGAGAGCCTTAGAAAGAATGTTTTCTGTGTCATTTCCCCCCGAAGCCAGAAATAACTCCCTTTCCTTGGAAACGCGCATTTTTCTTTCCAATATCTCCTCAAAGGGAGACGACTAAGGGCCAGAAAAGAGGCTCCGGGCCATCTGGTGAAATTTATTCCTTCTGATTTGGGCAAAGAAATTTTTACCAAATGAAGAGAATGGTGACAGATTTAGGGTCCCTGTGTCATCTTTCCCCAGCCCCTTAAAAACATTCTACTTCTTATCCTGACTCCTTAAAAATGCAAAATAGTTCTTGTCACCAAAATAGGCAGTTGATTAAGTTCAACCAAGATTTGTGATGCATCAGCTGTACCCAGCATCGTGCTGGGAGTGGAGGGCTAAAGGGAGAAGTGGTCCTTGCCCTCAAGGCTCTAAAAGCCTAGTGGATATATTTAGTTTTTGTTTGCATTTCTCTCTCTCTCTCTCTCTCTCTCTCTCTCTCTCTCTCTCTCTCTCCCTCCCTCCCTCCCTCCCTCCCTCCCTCCCTCCCTCCCTCCCTCCCTCTCTCTCTCCCTCTCTCTCTCTCTCCCTCCCTCCCTCCCTCCCTCCCTCCCTCCCTCCCTCCCTCTCTTTCTCTCTTTCTGTGTGTGTGTGTTATATCTGAGTATTTGTGCATGTGGATGTTCATGTGCCTGTGTGCATATGGGAACCAGAGGAAGGATGTCAGAAGTCCCGTCTCTCGCGCTCCACCTTCATCCTTTGTGGCTGGATCTCTCACTAAACCTGGTGCTAGGCTGGCAGACTGCAAACCTCAGGGAGAACCTAATGTCCCAACCCCTTAAAGAGCTGGAGTTCTATGCATTTACTGCCACATTTCTGGCACATGAGAACTGGGGATTTGAACTTAGGTCCTCATGACTGCCTACCAAGTACTTCTTACCTACTGACGTATGTCCCTAGCCCTGGAAGTATTTACTAAATCATGTTATAACCTGGACTAATTTTTAAAAACTTTCCTTCAGCATCCTATCTTCCCTTTGAGTAGATAATTAGATAGATGGAACAAGATGATATAAACCCTACAGGAAGGAGTCTTGGTGCCTTGGAAATGTGCAGCTTTGTTCTGGACGAGGCTGGGGTACCAGTGTTGACAACAGGAGTCCTGAACGGTGCAGGGTGACGTTCTGAGACTCTCACCTAGACTGACAGAGGAAGGAGGAGGGCAGACACTCTGAGTTCACATGGAATCTGTGCTCAGGTGGAGTGACTGCCCTAACCCCTCATCCGAGTAATCTTTCACACCCATCTTGGCCTCCAGGAGGTCTAGACCAGTGGGCTTTGGGCTGCGTTCTTGCTTTCTGACCCAGAGGCATTTGCTCGACCAGAGCTGGAGAAACAGGTTGGGACTCTGGTGTAATTGCCTGTCCAGTCCATGGTATTTTGTGATGGACAGTTTTTTCCCCCTTCAACAAAATCGGTACACTCCAGTATGGTGTTATTTGAACTGTGATTTTGAGGTACCATATGCCATCATAAAATTAAGCAGTGGCCAATTGCATTTTAAAATTGGGTCATATCTGAGTCTCCGTGGGATTTTAGAATCAAAGAAATTTGTTAGTGCTTTTGATAAACTGTCTTGGTACAGAGGTTGGAGAGATGGCTCAGTGGGTAATGTGTTTATTGTGCAAAAATAAGGACCTGAGTTTGGGTCCCCAACACCCGTGAGAAATCCAGGCCTGGTTGTGTGAGCTTGTGACCCCAGTGCTGGAAAGGCAGAAGCAGGAGGATGCTGGGGCCTTGCTGGCTAAATGATCTTGCTGAAAAAAGTGGAGCAGGGGTGGAAAGACTCCAACATCATGCACTCACAGGGGCAAGTGTACCACACACTGACCCAGGCGTGCTCGCCACACAATACTCTCCAGAGACTCCCGGTACCTCTGCTAAAGCCCTGTTCATCACTGTCTTTCTTCACTTCTCACTCCCGGGAAGATATTAGGATGTCGACACCTCCGTCACTAATTACTAAGGTTATACGATGGTTTGTGTCTACAGCTTTTGTAACAACTTAATGATACGCCACAGGTATCATGATAATGAGGCTCTTAAGTGTTCCCAACACCAAGAAGTTCTAAATATCTGAGATATGCCAGTGATCACTACCTAGTACCCACATGCATTTGAAGGCCACGCATATACAACCATCTATTTGTCCATTAAGATTTTAAACTATAGGACTGGAGAGGTGGCACTTCGGTGAACAGTGTGCATCCTGCTCCTGAAGAGAACCCAAGTTCAGTTCCCACCACACACATTGCTTGACTCACACCTGCCTGTAACTCCCGCTCCAGGGGATCTGAGGCCTTTGGCCTTCGTGAGAACTGCACTCACGTGTACACGCTCCCACACAGACAGACCCAGACACATCATTACAGATAATAAACATAGGTATTCTAGAATTAAGATATACTAAAATAAATTGAAAACATAATGGAATCATACTGTTAGTGGAAAAAAAAGGAAACTAGTGAAAACCAGGAGAGACTGGAGGCACATACGTGTTAGTTATCCCAGGAGTCAGGAAGCAGAGGAAGGAAGGTTACAAGTTTGAGACTAGACTGGGCTACATAGTGAGACCTTGTCTGTAACTAACCCTGTCTGTGATGGTAGCTTTTAATGAGCAGGTCCTGAACCTATGTGGTGCCCACATTCTTCTCACTCAGCTGCACACACTGCCATCATCACTGTTGTGCTCACTAGTTTTTGTGTCAACAAGAGTCATCTGAGCACTGGGAATTTCACTTGAGAAAATACCTGCATAAGATTGGACTGTAGGCAAGCTATATACACTGTAGGGCGTTTTCTTAATTAGTGATTGATGAGGGAGGGACCAGCCCATTGTGGGTGGTGCTTTCTCTAGGCTGGTGGTCCTCAGTTCTATAAGAAAGCAGGCTGAACTGGGCATGAGGAGCAAGCCAGTAAGCCTCCCCCTTCCATGGCCTCTGCATCAGCTCCTGCCTACGGGTTCCTGCCCTGCTTGAGTTCCTGCCTTGATTTCCCTCAATGTACTGCGACTCAGGATATATAAACCAAATAGACATTGTCCTTCTCAAGCTGCTGTGGTCATGGTGTTTCAGTACAGCGGGAGAAACTTCCTAAGCTAACTGCACGAGGGAGTTGAGGTTTTCTGAAGGGCAATGTGAGGGGAGGGCGTTGTGTTTTGTTGTTTGTGTGCTGCCTTTGCTCTCTACCTCCCCCAGGACGGGGCACAGCCTTTGATGACCTGGTGCTGTTGATGGGCACACAGTCACTGCTGCCTGAGGGTTTGCATAGGAGCTCTTTCTGTTGTGTTCAGTGTAAGAAACCCCGAGAGTGAGAAACCCCAAATTTATTCTTTTTAATTTTTTAAGTGTGTGTGTGTGTGTGTGTGTGTCTGGCGGTTAAGTGTGTGCACAATGAGAGCAGGTACACAGAGGCCAGAGGGGTTGGATCCCAGGGAGCTAGAGTTATATAGGCAATTGTGAGCCACATGATGGAGGTGCGGGGATTCAAACATGGGTCCTTTGGAGGAACAGAGCCACTGAGCCCCCTTCCCAGCTCCCCGAATTTATTTATTTATTTATCTATTTATTCTGAGATGCAGTGTGTGTTGTGTGTGTGTGGGGGGGGGTCTTTTTTTGTAGTCCTGGCTGTCCTGAAACTGATTGTGTTGACCACGTTAGTCTTGCACTCAGAGATCCACCTGCTTCTGCTTCTCCAGTTCTGGGATTAAATGCATATACCACCACACCGGTCTTAAGAAAAACAATCTCATTTAATTTTTCATTTGTCTAGACTCTCCATATGGGTTTAAGTCATCAAGGACATTGGGATCAATAGTGAATTGGACTGGGCCCCTCTGTGTCCCTTAGTTTGAGAGGTTGGGTGGAGACTGCATTTGGCTTTTGGCTTACTGCCCTTTGGCCGCGTGGTCCTCACAGTCTTCCTCTGAGGTCGTGCCCTTCCAGGAGGACAAAGGGCTTCTTAAACGTAGAGGCCTGACTGGTACCACAGGCCTGGAAAGTCTGCCCTGCAAGTTGGAATCGGAGAGGGCTGGTCACTCCCACTCAGAGTCTCCCAGCTCTTGTCCTCTTTGTTCTCTTTTGGCAGAACCAGCTTCTTGCAAAAGGACTGTCCTTTGTGGAGGAGAAGATCAAGCAGTGTGAAGGCAAGTACGAGGCCCTGGTGCACGGGGCTGTGACTCAACCTCTGATGTTTGCACAGCTGAGATGCTGCTGTCCAAAAGCAGCAGGCTCCCAGGGAGTGAGTCGCCCCGCTCCTTGCTGCATTCAGTGGTTTGAGCCAGCTGCCCTTGTCTGTGCAACCCCGACTTTTTGCAAAAATGCATTGGGATGGGGTGATTTATTGGAGACCTGGGTAAGGGGTTTCTGTGGATGTGTCCAGGTGGTGTCCTCTGAGGGGATACTGGCAGCTGCTTTACTGTAGGTGCTTCTGGTCGCTCTGGTCCCCATCCACTGTTGCGATATGTTTCTTGGAATCACAGTAGACAGAAGTGCTTCCCATTTGAGGGACATTAAGACAAGCAAGCTCCCGCTCCATGGGATGTTGTCTGAAAGATGAAAAGAAATTTCCTTGTCTGTCTGTGGCTTTAGAATCCAGCTGACAGGATGGAAAGAAACTGGCTGGAGAAGGGAGGTAGTCTCAAAAGAAAGAACTGACCACCCCTTCAATTCCACCGAGAGCTTCTAGAGACTCGGCTTGTTTCTTAGTTCTCTAGTGAATTTTGCCAAGTTTCTCTCTCTCTCTCTCCCCCCTTCTCCCCCTTTCTCTCTCTCCCCTCTCTCTCTCTCTCTCTCTCTCTCTCTCTCTCTCTCTCTNCCCCTCTCTCTCTCTCTCTCTCTCTCTCTCTCTCTCTCTCTCTCTCTCTCTCTCTCCTTCTCTCTCTCTCCTTCTCTCTCAGCTCCTGTATTCTCAGATTTCCTGCATAGCGGAAGATGACCTAGAACTTCTGATTCTCCTGCCTTCATCTCAGTGTTGTGATTACCGGTGTGCAACACCATGCTCGGTTTATGCTGAGCTAGAGATGAAACCCAGGGCTTTGTGCATGCTAGGCAAGTACTCTAGCAACTGGGCCACACCCCCAGCTCCGATTGTCATTTTAAAGTTACGGAGTGGGGCGAGGACTGTAGTAATATCAGGTACATATGACACCATACTCTGCAGACAGCTGGTCTACCTTTTCTTTGGGCTCTAGCCTGACGACCTCAGTATAGCTCAGGTGGATGTCCAGACCCAGACTCCAAACATGTAACATGTTACATTCTAGCCATATACTGGAGTGCAGCACATACGAACTTTGAGGACATCATGTCCAGTGAAAGCCATTTGCTCACATGCTTGCATTTGCACACTCAAGCATTTTTTCTTTCACGTTTAGGCTGTAATTTTTTTCCCTAAGTCTGTAAATACCACTACACCATTTAGTTGGACTTTCTTGTCAGGCTTCCTTTGGACCACCAGTCCTCAAATAATGACGCAGAGACATTATTAATTATGAAAACTTGGAGTATAGTTTAGACTTCTTCCCAGATAGCTCTTATACTTTAACCTGTTTTTATTAATCTAAACTCTACCATATGGTTCTTTACCCCCCCCCCCATTCTGTTTGTCTGACTCCTCTGTGTCTCTTATGAAATCCTGGAACTCAGATCCATTCCCTGAGTTCTTCTCTCTGTCAGGAAGTCCCACCTAACCTCTCCTGCCTTGCTATTGGCCACTCAGCTTTTCATTAAACCAATCACAGCAATACATTTTCACACAGTGTAGAAATATCCTGTGCAAGTAAACAAAACCAGAAAAAAATCAAATTTGAGAATAACCAGAATGCTCTGTGCATTGCTAGGTGAAGGTACCCTGGCAGCTTCCTGCTTGTACTTGGGTTTGTTACTGTGTTCAGCTGTACCTGGTGACAGCTGGTGGACAGGGGAAACCATGTTGATTTGAGTCTTTGCTACAGTTGTACTGACCTTGCTTTTCAGGATGTTTTTGATAGCAACCTCTGTGCTGCTGCTGGTTTAACTCCTGTAGTATATCAGAGGGCAGATTCAATGTCAGACATCTAGAACCTTCCGTTCAAACCTTCACCTTTGTAGGGAGCTAGCTCTGACTTGTAGGCTGTTTCTGGAAATGAGGCTACCTGTTTCCTTTATGTCTTTCTTTCTTCCTTTGTTGTTGTTGCTCTCACAGAACACCTTCTTGAACCTTCTTTCCTCCCTAACCTTTATAGCCATCCATCGGATCCAGTCTCCCAGAAGGTACCTCCCAGCTCCAGGGTGGAAGGACTCCTCTATGCACCCTTGAGGCCTCTGTCTTAGCTTGGAAGTAGGCATAGTTCTGCGCCATAGGGTTCTGTCTCCTTCCCTTCAATGTAGAAGGCTTCAGGTGAGGGTTATGAACAAAGCAGCCGGAACAGCCTTTACAGCCTTTATTGCTCTTCGAGGTTCAATTTGGATTTAGGAAACCAGAGGTCCTCCTGCTTCATCACTGCAGTGAATAAGCCTTGCTTACATCTGGAAGATGGTTCTGTGTGGCTGATCAGTCACTTGTTGGATGCCAGGTCCTTTGCTAGATTCTGAGACTGCTGAACTGGAAATGGGAACAGATATGAATCAAATCACCATCTATTAGTAGGCCAGTTGTGTGTGAGTGTGTGAAAGTTGGGTGAGAGAGTGTGTTAGTGATCAGTTGTGAGTGTAACCAAGACTAGTTCTACTGATATACACAGGCGAGAGTTTGATTAACTGGAGGAATAAAGTCAGACTGTAAGAATCAAAGCTGAACTGAAGAGGATTAACCGGCAAGTTAGGCAAAGAGGGACGGAAAGAGAAGTCTGGGCAAAGGAGTTATCATATGCAAAGTCTTCTGCACAGCCACAGTTCAAAGACAGAGGGAAATCTAGCTGAGGATGAAGACAAGGAGAAGGAGGCAGAGCCTCTTGGCTGTGTAGTCCACATTGTAGAAGAGTCCTTCTCACAAGAGAAAACAGAAACTGTTCCTGCTAACTTGAAAGGTTGGCTCTGTAATGTCATCTATTGGGTCAAATAGGAACCTCCTACCCTTGATAGACCTGGCATGTGCAGAACCCTACACATTTGGTGCTTTGCCATTCTTTGCCATGGAGGCCTTTACGTAGTGGTTTATTGATGTGTCTGGCTGGATGCTCTGCACCTAAAATGGAAGAGGAACAAACCCGTCCCAAGACAAACCTGCTGCAGTCTCTCAAGTTCTAGCCAAGGACAATCCTAGTAGCAATGTTTGATTAGTGCTTTGCCAGGGAAAGCAGAGCATGGCACCGCTCTGCACCCAGCCTGCCCTTCCAGCAGCTGTTAGCGACGAGCTGTGCCCTTGCTCTGTGCTTTCTCCCCAGCCACTGCTTTTATTGCCCATTAAATTAATAGACAGAAGACGCTAAATGAAACTATCAAGATTCCTTCCATGGAACTAGTGGTGTTTTGCCAAACACGTCTCTCGGTGTCTTGTCGTGGCTGACCCAGTTTCTCTGCTCAGGTTGAGCAGACAGTAGCCCATAAGCTCTGACATCTAGGTCATTAAGCAGCTGCCATTTCAACCAGGCTCTCTCCTCTCTCATCCCTTTAGTTGCCTGACGTGACCTGTATACTTTAGCCTGTGGGTGGCATTTGACTTCCTGGTGCCAGGGGTGAGCAGGCACAGTTAGGAGGTGCCTTCCAGCCATGGGGCAGCAGTGGGTGAAGGTGATACTGTAGATCTTCTTTCTGCTTCTTACCTGACAGCTCACAGCCAGAATCAGGCCAGAGAATGTAGCTGTGCCAACAGAGCAGTGTACGACTGTGCAAACAGTAGTGTATAACTGTGCAAACAGCAGTGTATAACTGTGCAAACAATAGTGTATGACTGTGCAAACAGCAGTGTATAACTGTGCAAACAGTAGTGTATGACTGTGCAAACAGCAGTGTATAACTGTGCAAACAGCAGTGTATAACTGTGCAAACAGCACTGTACAACTATACAAACAGCAGTGTACAAGTGTGCAAACAGCAGTGTGCGAGTGTGCAAACAGCAGTGTACGACTGTGCAAGCAGCAGTGTATGACTGTGCAAACAGGTCAGTGTATAACTGTGCAAACAGGTCAGTGTATAACTGCAAATCGAGGTGAGTATAACAACTGTCCAGATGGAGCAATGTATAGCTGCAAACAGATCAGTGTACAACTGTGCAAACACTCTTCAGAACAATCAGATAAAGACCATGAGGTCAGGGACCCCAACTTTGCCTTTGAGCTAGGAGTTTGTTGTTAGCCTAGTTACTTGTGTCTCTGAGCCTGTAAGATGGGGTAGTGGGGTACTCACATAGTAGTGATCAGTACTTTAGCTCGGCATCTGAAAATGCTGTAAATACTCATGGATATTGACTGCCATGTGATTTTTAAATCTTCACCTCCCTTTCCTGAGTTTGGAGATAGAAAAGCACATTCTGTGTCCTCAGTTGAGGCTTCCCACCTGAATTTTGCTATAACAAAATACCTAAGGTCACTTTATAAATAAGAAGTTGACTTGGCTTACTGAGTTGGAGGCTCAGACACTTGGGTTGTCTTCTGGTAGGAGCCTCATGGTGGGTGTCGTTGTGGTGGTAGGCTGTAGAAGGAGCAGCGGGCTGCGTTCCTGCTGCTCGGCCGCCCGGCTGCCCAGCTAGTTTTCACCTGAAATAATTACACGGAAACTGTTCTTTTAAACACTGCTTGGCCCATTAGCTCTAGCCTCTTACTGGCTAACTCTCACGTCTTGATAAACCCATTTCTATTAATGTGTATAGCACCACGGTGTGGTAGCTTACCGGGAAGGATTCTAGCCTACATCTGTCTCGGGTCGGAGAATCATGGCGACTGCCTGAATTTGCTTCTTTCTCCCAGCATTCTGTTCTGTCTACTCTGCCTTTCTAAGCTGCTGTCCTATCAAAGGGCCAAGGCAGTTTCCTTTTAACCAATGAAAGTAACACATAGACAGATGACCCTCCTCCATCAGTAGGCAAGTGTGGAAGAGACCACACAGGAAGCCAGAGCAGAAGCCAAAGACCAGCTCATTTCCAAAACCCTCACCCAAAGGGCCTCCCTCTGCAGCCTGCAACTAGTGATGTTGAATTTCAGTTGTTGTGTGTATCCTATGAGCAAACTGGGTCTTCTGATGGCCTTAAGAGGGACAAAGACCCTGTACACTGTCGCTGTTATCTCTGGGTATCAGCGGCTCCTGGCTGCAAGTTCCCTAGTGTGTGCAACTTCACATTTGAGGAGGAGCTGCCCTGTGGCCTCTCCCGTGAGTAATGACATTTTCTCTTCTTTCTCCCATCTTCTCTCCCGTGTGTAGGTGATAGTCTCATTGAGGTTCTGGCTGAAGTCTGGGATCACTTCTTCACCGAGACTCTCCCCACCCTGCAGGCAATATTTTATCCGGTTCAGGTTAGTGTCACTGGGATGCAACAGCCTGTCTCCTCCACTGACCTAGGTGGGCACCTCGGTTAGAAAGGGACTCAGAGGCCTTCTGAGGACTCTCAGGATCTGTGTTTAGCCCCTAACTTCAAGTGAAGAGAGGCTTATATATAACCAGCAATTTGTAGGTTCTTGTTACCCTTGTGGTTTTGATGGCACATATACTGAACAGGGTGGGTTTTCATTTTCTTTCTCTTTCTTTCTCACCCCACCTCTGTTTCTTACTGGCAGCCTCTTTGAAGTGCAATTTTAAAGTACTTTACTAGTGCACACTGATCAGAAAGTCTTGGTTCATTGGGATGACTTCACATGTGTGTCTCATGCCCTTTCACCCCTTAAACCCAGCCGCTCCACCCCTCCCCCCACCTCCTTGTAACACATTTTAAGCAAATTACTGTTGTCCTGAAGTCGTGGGAAAGGATGCTGTCCCTTGCTGTCTGTGATGGTCTCTCACCTAAAGAACTACATGACATATTAGTGCTGGGTGAGGGGTGGGGAATGGAGAATGGGCGGGCTGGAGCTCTACAGTGCAGGTCAGGAGTTACGCACTTAACTTTGTGCATAACACCATCCAGTTCCTGAGAAGCTGGGGATTGGGATTTAGGGCTGGAGAGATAGCACAGCAGTTATGAGTTTGTACTGCTCTTGAGCAGACCCTGGGTGTAATTCCCAACATCCATGTTGCATGGCTCACAACTGCTCCAATGCCCTCTTCTGAGCTCCCTGGGTCCCTGCTCTCATAAGCACAAACCCACACAGAGACACAAGCATATACATGTAATTTAAAGTAATAAGGATAATAAATGTTTTTCTAGAATGTGGGATTTAGGGAAGGCAATTGGTTCAACAGTAAAGAACTTGCCGCAGCAAGCATGAAGCTCTGAATTCAGATCTTCATCATCCATTTAGAAGTCAGCACATCCTAACCCCAGTGGTGGTGGAGGGTGGGGGAGACGGCGGGTCTCCGAGCCTTGCTGGCCACAGTCTAGTTTAATTGGCGGGCTATTCCTCTCCCAGATTGCTCTCCCATACCTGCAGCTTGCTCACTTTCCTCTCCTCCCCCTGGGGCTGAGGCTTTTGCCGGCTGGCTCTGGCTTTGTTGACGGGAGGGTGTAATAAACACACTGCTAGCAGAGCCACCAGCAATGGTTGGAATTTCCTCATTCCGCAGCGAAGGCCCCAGGAGATGGTTTGCACGTAAGGGGTTTTAAAGGAGTATAGGATTGCTTGCACTCCATACCCAACATTTAAAATTTTGTTTAGTGAGTGTCACTTCCCATTTCAGGCTTGCCTCTCCCATCTCCTATATCACAGTGCAAGTAGGGGCCTGGCCTGTCGCTCGCTCCCCTCAGCATCCTCAGTCTGAACCAGTGATGCTGGAGCCCCTGTGGCTTCTGACCCCTTAGATACCCTCTCCCTTGCAGCTGTTGCCCCTTACCAAGCAGCAGGTCATCAGAACAATAGACCTGAGGGTAGGGTTCACTGGTGTAGCAAATAAAAATACCAGGTGCTGCCTTAACTATAAATTTTATGTAAATGACAATGGATTCCGACACGTGTGTAGGAAACAAAATTTAGCCGGTGTCTTGTGTTTAACCCAAAGGAAGGCTCATTGGTGCAGCAACTGCCAGGACAAGGTGGTGGCTACAGAAGGTGGCGGATGGGCACCGAGGGGCTCAGAGCCAGGCAGGGGCACAGTTCTGTAGACCTAAGGAGGGGGTCTGTGTTGATTCTCTGAAAAAGCGGCCAGGTCTGGCAATCCTAAGTGCCTGTTTATTTCACCATCTTCAGCCCCAGCAATTTGGAGGCCACTTTCTCCCCCTGCTGACCCTGGAGGACATCTGCTTGTGCTCGTCCATTTTATTTGCTAGCTGAGGTAGAGAGGGAGAGGCATGGACTCAAAGAATCAATGGAAAATTCAAAGGCGGTAAAGGGAGGCTTGCACAAACAGGCACCAAGGTAGAAGGCACAGAGAGTGGGAGGTCTGTGTATTAGGTAACGTGGAGATGACTTTTTTTCTGTTTCAAAGGCAAAGATAGACTTGCTTTTAATTTTGGATGAGTAGGTGTCCTTTCTCTGGTCCACTACGAAAGGAAACCCTGTCAGAGCCTGAGAACACCCCAGGGCCTGGTAAGAGGCCACGAATTGAAAGTCCCAGGAAGCAGCGAGTGACTTGTTTCTGTTGAGAACCGAGCACCTCACCTCCCACCAAGTGCATTTCCGGGCAGTATGAGAAGCCAGATTCTGCACGTGGAGAAAGCCTTGGGCTGCTGGGACCATAGATGTGCAGTTCCACGTTTCAGGCTGCATTGAAGGTGTGAGGTACTGAGTACAGTCCCAGGGCAAGCGGCATCTCACACTGCTAGTCTGAACCCCCTTGGGCTCACATTTCAACCTGGGAGGCGCCTGGTACTGACACTGTATAGCCTTCTGGTCACTTTCTAAGTCGGTCATCTCTCCGAATATGTAAGGCACGTTAGGGCAGTCTTTCGTCTTTTCCTGGGGAGTGCTGTGACCCTCCTGCTAGCCCACACTCCTGCAGGTATTTTCATGTGAAGAGGCTAAGAACATTCTGGAAAGGAAATGGCATGGGGAAGGATGGAGTGGCAATAATAAAGCAGGTTGATTTGGGGGTTCAGAAGGAGAGGTTACCTTAATTGTTTAGATCTGTTGCTCTCTAGCCTGGCCTAGCAGGTGGATTTGGAATGGGTTGCTCTTGAATGTCTACCATATTTACCCACTCAAACAATCATCTCCATTCCCTCCACTGTCTGAGATAATCACTGGGTGTTGTAAGGAGGGGGCCGCTTGTTGGTCCCGGTTGCTTAGCCCCGAAATAATCACACAGAAGCTGCAGTAATTAAATCACTGCTTGGCCCATTAGTTCTAACTTCTTATTGGCTAATTCTTACATATTAATTTAACCCATTTCTATTAATCTGTATATTGCCACATGGCTGTGGCTTGCCGGCTCAAGCTCCATCTGGCTCTGGCAGGACTCCATGGCTATCTCTGCCTCTGCCTCCTTTCTTCCAGCATTCTGTTTAGTTTTTGCCACCTAGCACTGTTCCCTTACAGCTCTGTTATAGGCCCAAAGCAGTTCCTTTATTAGCCAATGATATTCACAGCACACAGAGGGGAATCCCACATCAACTGGAACATGAGTCAGTTCATTCTTTTGAGAAGCTAACGTGGCAGTATCCATAAAACCTGTGTGTGTGTGTGTGTGTGTGTGTGTGTGTGTGTGTGTATGCGTGTACATATGTGAGCATATATCCAGAGGCCGATGTCAGGTGCCCTTCCCACTTTGAGACAGGGTTTTCCCAAGCCTGTTACCTCACTGACTTGATTAGACTACTTGACCAGGAAGCCCTAGGAATCTGCTTGGCTCTGCCTATCCAATTGCAAGATTACAGACTGCATCTGGTCTTTTGAATGTGGCTTCACGGGGCTCAAACTCAGGTCTCAGACTTGTTCAGCACTCACCTGTCTCCCCATGCTCTTTGTTTGTTTGTTTGTTTGTTTGTTTGTTTTTGAGACAGGGTTTCTCTGTGAAACAGTTCTGACTGTCCTGGAACTCAATCTGTAGACCAGGCTGGACTTGAACTCACAGAGATCCGCTTACCTCTGCGTCCCAAGTGCTGGGATTAAAAGTGTGCACCACCAATGCCTGGCTCCCCATTCCTTTTTAAAGGTGGATTTTTGATTGTGTAAGTTTTCTTTCGAAGAGTGGTAGCGATCTGGGTATACTAACAAAAGGGTCCAGAGAGTCATGGATAAACACGTTTATTACAGCGTTGCTGTAGTAAAAAAGGTATTTTAGTTGAAGAAATAGCAGTTAGAGTATACTCACATGTTAGAATACTATGTGACTTTAAAATAATATGGGGCAAGGGAGAAGCAAGGTGTGTTGATTTGCAAAAATGTCTAAGGTACACTAAGCTAAATACAGGCATGAAAACTTTGCTCTCTATGTATGTTTAAGGTTAAATGTGAATTTTATAGAGGTAAAAACTTTCTAGAAAAATCCAGAAGATAAATACAAGCCTTTGAAGAGGGGCTTCTTGGATGGATATCAAGAAACTACAGAAAGTGATTTCTGCTTGCCTTAACCCTGTCCTAACTTTGAATTGTAGCCTAACAATATCTATTACTCAATGATTTAAAAGTGAAATCCAAAACAAAATGACAAAGTACCAAGAGTCATTCTTTTGGCTGCAAGTGGAGAGGCCCCAGTGCCTGGGTGGCCTCTAGGGGCTTCCCAAAAGACCAGTTATGCCAAGTAGTTGCTAGTGGTGGGGGCGGGGGAGTTCTAGAATTGCCTTCTTATTTCTCCTGTCTTCTCTTTCCTCCAGATTGACATTCAGTCTAGTTTCTACAAGTCTGCCTGCCCTTGCCTGCCTTTTTCTTTTTCTCCGCCTGGTATGATTTAAATCAGACAGTTTTACTACGGATGGATACCACAGAAGGGGCCATGAACAGAAGTTGGATAGTTCCTATCATCCTCCAGCATCCTGTATCATCGAGTAGCCTGGCCTAAACAGAGTAACGAGGGGCTAGTGTTGAGTCTTGCATCCCTAACCATCTAGCTATCAAGCATGGGTAGTGAAAGAATAAGACCATATGTGAGGGACGCAGTAAAGAAACCACCGAGATGTTGGCACCATGATTAGGGGGAAGGTTTTTGTTGTGGATGTGAGCGAGAACATCCAAAGGCATCGAGAAGAATCCAGATGCAAGAGAAAAATAAGCAGACCAGACATGGGCCAGGGAAGTGGGGAAAATAGCAAGAGAGAGAATAGTGGGCAAAAATAGTAGAGAACGGGTGTGGTAGGGTAACGGGTAAGCACCTTGCTGTTATAAAGGGGCTGGAATAGCCTGGGGCTAGCATAGTGCAGGAGTAGGGGAGTGAGAGGGGTCAGCCGGCTAGTGTGGGGACCTTGAGATGTGTAGCAAGTACTTGTGAATAGGGGCTGAGGGAGCATGGGCTTCGATGAGGAACCACCCATATATGTCAATGGCGAGCCATATGTCCCTTCTGCCAGAGGCAAGGGAAATGAGTCCTTTTGATGGGTGGACCCATTTCACAAGTTTCTAAGGAATGGTGGGGTTTTATCTAACAGCCAGAAATCCTTCTCTAGTCCAGCTTGAGCTAAGCCAAGAATATCATTTCTAGACCTATGTACTGCCAGAGCCCTAAGACCCAGTAAAAGTGCTTTTCTTCTGTGATTTGTAATCATTTTAATGCTATAGAAAGAAAAACAAAAAACCTTGAGGTAAAAATTGCAACATCTCAGATGGCTTTGAGGGACCACTGAGAATTGACAGAGGAAGTTTATTAGAAGGTTACTAACATCATAGACAGACAGAGGACAGCATGGCCAGGCCTCTAAGGAGAGTCCAGCCCCAGCTCCACAGACATATAGCTTGGTGGATGCCCTGAAGAGGCCTCAGGTGATTGCAGGATGCCCACCCATGTCGGAGAGAGCCAGCGCTCTGTCCTGTCTGCTGGCTCCAATGCTGATCTCATTGCGAAGTGCCATCACAGGCACAGGGAAGAGTCATTTAATCAGGACAGTGTGGGGTTAGTCAGGTTTCCCCCTCTGTCACATACTCACCTGAGCACGCGCGTGTACACACACACACACACACACACACACACACTTTCAAAAATGTAAAAATGCCTCTCCAAGTCCCAGGGTTCCCGCAGACGGATGTGAGAACACACACACACACACAAGCCACGACAGAAGTGGACATTACATGCACTGTTTACATCTAGAATCTTAGGGCCCTGCCTAGCACACGAAACCTAGCGACCACAAACGCTCGTGGAGACTGGTATCTTCATCTCCTGCCTACTACCCCAGCAGCTGAAATAGTGAGGCTTTTCCTACTTGTATACAAATCACTTTTCTTCCTCAGTTACTTGTGATTATGGAAGAAGCTGCCGTCTTATGGAACCATGTACGGGCTGATGTTGCCTGACCTGTGATAAGCACTTAAATATTTAACAGATGAAGTTGAGAAAGCAGCCTTGAGGTGGGGAGAGAGTTGTAATCCTTTCCGTCTCTCCTCCCTTCCTCTCTCTTCCTCCTTCCCAACCACTGGACTCTCCTGACAGCAAGATCCGCTATTAAATGTGTCTTGTATCGTCTCTAGGTTATCGAATCGGATTGACCCATACCTTGCCTTAATGCCAGGAGAAAGCAGACCCGGGTCTTCTGTGACAGCCCACGAGCCTTGCACTGCCCGGCCCAGTCCGTCCCGAGTGCACTGTGAACACTTCCCCTGAAGCACTGAAAGCTGGTGGGGACTCAGCAAGCGTCCCCTCTCACCTTTCCGCCTGTCTTCCCCAGGGACAGGAGCTGACCATCCGCCAGATCTCCCTGCTGGGCTTCCGGGACCTGGTCTTGCTGAAGGTGAAGCTGGGTGACTCGCTGCTGTTGGCACAGTCCAAGTTACCCTCATCTGTTATACAAATGCTGCTCATTCTGCAGGTGAGCGCTGCGGAGGCCTGCCCCTTCTGCCACAAGCAGCCGAGTAATCCTGCCTCCTGCCGTGATGGAGATGGGGAGCGGGGCTAACAGCAGAGCCAAGCAGCTGAGCTGTGCGTTCTTCTGCTTATTCGTCCATTGTTTCTTGGTTCACTACATCATGTACATTTGTTGTGCACCCAGCAGGCTCCTGGTGTTGTACCTGGTGCTGGTGTTGGAGCAAGGGAAGAAAACAACACCTGATTCACTGGGTGCTGTGGCCTTCTCAGTCCCTGTGAGGGTGGGATTTGGGTGCTCACCCTCCCTCTGCTCTGAACACTCTGTTGCCTGGGACAGGCAAAGCCTTTCCTAAACTTTTTCCTCCTGCTTGTATCCTCAGCACCCAGCCCAGGGTTGTGAGCACAGAAGTAGGCTTCCACTGTGGTGCCAGCTATTGAGGAGAAGACATCCTCCTTCCAAGGAGTGCTCTTCCAAGGAGTGCAAACAGGGACAAAGCATCTACCATAGTTGAGTCAAGACAGACCTAGAACTCCTACATGGGTCCCAGAGCCACCAACTCTGGTCACTTTCTATCTCTGTTTGGATCATTCTTCCTCTTTTTTTTTTCTGTGTGTGTGTGTGTGTGTGTGTGTGTGTGTGTGTGTGTGTGTGAGAGAGAGAGAGAGAGAGAGAGAGAGAGAGAGAGAGAGAGAGAGAGAGAGAGAGAGATGCTGTCTCTTGTGGCCTGCCTGGTTGTTTCTGGACTTGGTCTTTCTGTTTGTGGAATAATTCGGATCAGATTACATGTGACATTCCGTGGTGTTTACCAGCGAGACACTACCCAGATGGCTCCATGCTGTCTTCTCGTCCCAATCCTAAATCTGCAACAGGAAGATGAGCTAACACTTCGCAGGCTCTGGTGGTTTGCCAGGTGCAGGCACATGGACTATAAATGTACTGTTTTCTTAAACAATCCAAATAACCATCTAATGAGGTCAGCATTGTTTTATTCCCATGCTCCAGACGAGGAAACAAAAGCAGGACACTTAAGTGCTTGAGCGAAATCCCCCAGCTGGTAAGAGGTGGTAAGATTCTAATACTCAGAATCCTGCTCCCTCTTCTGGGTAAGAGATCTGACTGGCATGTGCTGTGTTTGGAGTTCCCTTTTGCCCAATCGGCTGACCCTGAGTGAGGTCAGGTGGACCCAACATGCCCTGGGGAGCCCTTTCCCGTGGATGGCTGTGCAGTTCTCACTTTCCAGCCTCCATCCGGCTCTTGATGACTGGTGAGATGCCACCAGCCCCATCTATGTGCCTTTGGTTATCTCTGCATATCCCCCTTTCCTGTAATCAGAAAAGAGGAAGGGTGGTTTCATAGATGAGGGTGGGTATCAGTCTACGTCCAGCCTTTCTGTAAAAGGGAAGAAAAGGATAGGCGTGGCAGAGTGTCTGCAGCTTGCACCTGAAGTACTGGACACAGAGCTTAGCTCCCAAATATGGCGTGTAGAAAGGAGCCCCCGAGGGTTCTGGGAGTGAGGTTCGGAAGTTGGGCTCCACTTTCTGTTTTCGTTTCTAAGGCTTTGGGGAGGCATCCAGCGCTAGTTACTTCTCTTTTTGCCATGACAAGATACCTGAGAAAAACAACTTAAAAGAGGAAGGGTTGTTCAGGTTGCGTCATCACTGCAGAGAGGGCATGGCAACAGGAAGGCGAGGCGGCTGGCCACACTGTGTCTTGTATCTGTATCAGCGAGTGGAGACGGACAGATGCAGGTGCTCAGCTGGCTTTCTCTTTCTATGCAGCCTGAGACCCCAGCCCAGGGAACGATGCTGTCCATGTGTATGGTGGGGTCTTCCCACCCTATTAACCTAATCTAGATAAGCCCTCAAGGGGCGTTTCCATTCTGACAGTCAAGATTAACTACCACACATCCCTTTCTGTTTGGGACTGTGGTCGCTCTCTGCAGATTCTCCCCAACTGAAGCTGGAGCGGGAGGACATGTTTCTATTAATAGAAGCCTTTTGAGGCTCTGGGTCTTGTGTAGTCTCCTGATGACACCTGTCGTCACCCCTTAGAGCCCCTGAAGATGTCCCAGAAGGACTACTCTGCCTTTGTCGCATTTACACACCATGCTGTGTACCTGCAGCTCTTCCCAGCTGAGCTTAGGAAAGCTGCTCATGACTGTCCCTGGGCCTGGAGCCCCTCCACCTCTCCCTCAGATGTTGGAAGCTGGCTTACCTGGTGCTCTGGCCTTCGTGGTTCGTGCAGGGCTGAGATCTTGGTGCTCACTTCCCCTCTGATCTAAACACTGTTGTCCAGAACAGTCAAAGCCAATCTTAAGCTTCTTCCTCAGGTTTGTGCCCTCAGCACCCAGCCCAGTCTTGATCATAAAAGCAGGTGTTCATAAAGTGGTGGAGCCAGCTGCTAATGACCAAGGAGGATTCCAAGGCCATGGCTTCTTTCAGAGGAGTGAAACACAGCTGGAGAAGCTCCCTGGCTGTGGTGGAGTTCTGGAAAATTGGACAAGGAAATAGTCTCGGCTGTGGATCTTTTTTTTCCCACTTCAAGGAGGTAGAGGATCAGAGGGGCCAGCTATCCAACAGGACTTCAGCCTGATCTGAGGGAGCTGGACCAGTCGGCCTTCCCTTAGCTTTCTCTCTCTGACCTCTTAGCCTTCCTTCCTGTATCCTCCTCGGGTACTGGAAACACCCTTCAAACTTCTAAGATAGCCACTCTCCGGGGTGGGGTACTTGGCATCCTTTCCCTCTGAGCCTCGTGGTAATAGGTCTCCTGGGCCGCTTTCTCCCTTGGAACTCAGAGAGCTGAGGCAGGGAGGCTGAGAGCAATCAGTGTAGGTCTTCCCTGGGTCCAAATTGATTCTCTGGGTCCTGAGGGGCAGCAGCTTCGGAGTCAGAATAGAATTTCAGGGAATCCACTCTGGGGCCATGCCTGCTACAGGGATGTACTGTGAATTGTCTAATCTTTCCTAGGCCCCAACTCTCCATAGGGACATGGGACCTGGGGAAAATTTTCCCAAATGACTCTGGTACAAAAAGAAAAAGTTTCTCAGACTTCAGCTCTCCCATTCCCACCAGCCTTCTAAACCTTTTTGAGTCAACCCCTCCCTTATAAGAAGATGCCAGGGCATCTCCAGCTATAGTTAAAAGCTCTTGTTCTCAAGGGGCCCCACCTAGATGAGGGAAGCTTCAGTCAGTATGGGGCCCTGCCCATGAGGCAAGGTTTGTGACATTGTCTTGGAGGGCCCTGTGCCTAGGTTAATACTCTCCCATCTCCCACTCAACACTCTTCACATTTTGAATGTCGGGCCCAGCATCTTGTTTCATACTGGGCCATGAAAAGTTGTCATTTACCAACTGTGTTTTGCTAACTGGGCTAGCAGTGGGTCAGAAGGCTGAGGATGCCCTCAAGGGACATGTCTTTGGGAGCTCTACCCAATTCCACACTGTTATTATCCATTTCTTTTGTCACTTCTGTTTCCTGTCATGTCTCTTTTGGGGAGAAGAAGTTGATGAGAACTATCAAGAGAAGAAACAGAAGAAGAAACAACTGTTTCCTGGGCTTTGAGACCTAATAAAGGTGGCTTTATGATTTGGACGGCTCTGCCCTAAAGTCTGGTTTGGTTCCTGTGCCTTTTCCTTTTTACTGCCTTGAGTGCTCCCCCCTCCCCCCCAGTTTGGGCAGAACTTCATGCGTCTTCCTAAGTAAAGCAGCTCTTCTTTTCTTTTTCTTTTGATTTCCAACGCTAAGCATTCTAATGCTTGAGCTCAGGGGAAGTGGAGCTCAAAAGAGGGTATGGAGAATCACCATGCCTATCCCCAGTGCCACAGTCAAGGTCGTCCCAATGGACAGCCACTGGCTGCACCTGTCCCTTCCTTCCATCTGTCATCCCAGACGGCAAACTCTGCATACACCTGTAGCTGCTTCTTAGGCCTCTTGTTTCCCCAAACTATCCAATACCCAAGTATCCTCATCTTATTTGATGTAGCTGAGAAGGACCAGGGGAGGGCCTATTTCCTTGGGAATCATATCTGACCCACGGGTCCCTACCTTCAGGAGTTGCTCCCATCTGTTTCGCTCCACAGACAGCTCTGGGGCCATGGTGAATTCTTTGTTTTTTTAAGGAAAGCCATTCAGGGCTTTCTCTTTTGAGAGATTGAGGAGATAATCTTTCTGGCTAAGCACAGAGACCCCTGGAGCCTTCCTTCTTTCTTTCCCAGGCCCTGTCCTTTTCCTGGTGGCCCTGGGTCCTTGCCACCCCTCAGCAGGAGTGCACATTTATCACCTCTTCCAGTGAGAAACAGAGTTCACAAGGAGCGGCTGGATTTCTAGAAAGCAGGTTTTAGCAGCCCCTTTCCAGCTTTGGCTGCCATGCATTTATTTTGGTTGGCCTTTACCCAAGTCTTAGTTTGAGGCCTCAGGCTGTGCTGGACCACTCTTCCCTTCTCCTGTTTTGGACTTTTAAGTCTTTTTTCTCCATGTTCTACTCTGATAACAAAGTGACAGTCACAAGGACTCTGAGCCAGATAGCTTGGCTTCCAGTCCAGTGGGGCTTTTTGTTGTTGTTGTTGTTATGTTCTTTGTTTTTGCCATTTGTTGGTTGTGTTATACTAGACAAGTTTCCTAAGCCTCCTCCTGGTCTTTATTTCTCGTTCTTGGAAGGGTTGTTGGGAGGCCTGCGTGTTAGTCCCTTTGCGGTGCTTCTGTGGTGTGCCTGTGCGCTGTCGGTAAGGGGTAAGGTCCCCACTCTTCTGTGGGTGGGGTAATTGTTGGGCCTTGCCACCCTGTCCCTTTAGAGCAAGAGTTGGGACCATGCTGCCTACACTGTCCTGGGAGAACCCACATATTGATCTTCGAATGACCAGTTTTTTGTTTTGTTTTGTCTTTTGAGACAGAGTTTCTCTGTGTTGTAGCCCTGGTTATTCTAGAGCTTGCTCTGTAGGTCAGGCTGGCCTCGAGCTCAGAGTTCCACTTGCCTCGTAGTTTCTGGTTTATTGATTCTCTCATCTCCCACTCAGCATCCTAACTGATTTTTCAACTCAGGACCTCGCATCTTCATTTTGTACTGGGCCAGGAAAATCTGTCTTTTGCGTTTTGCTAGGCAGCCTGGCAGAGGGGCTGAGAGTTGAGGACTGTTGCCTCTGTAGGGCCCAGTGTGAGCTCTGTCCCCGTGGCCCATGGACCTGCGAGAGCCACAGAGCTCCAAGCCTTGCGTTTATCCTTTTTCTCCCACCTATGGCCTCATCTTTGTTTCCTGTCCTCTTTCATTCTCATCCATGGACCTGGGACAAATGACCGGTGCTTATGGCCCGTTTCCTCCATTCTAACCACAAGGAGGCTGATGTGGCCACACGGCAAGGAGTGTCATTGGCAGGCGCTGACAGGTGTCCACCACTGCGACACTTTTCACTAACCTTTATCTTGGGTGTTTATTTGCAGAGTGTTCACGAGCCCACAGGCCCAAGTGAGGGCTATTTGCAGCTGGAGGAGCTGGTGAAGCAAGTGGTGTCTCCCTTCCTCGGCATCAGTGGGGACCGCAGCTGCGCAGGCCCCACGTACTCATTGGGTAAGAAGAACATGGCTCTAAAGTCTAGACGCTTGGGGGTAATGATACCCACCTCATGGTGTTGAGCAGTGATTGTCTGCCCAGCACTTTGTTCCAGTGAAGGCCAGGGAAAATCTTGATTTGTTAATTGTGGATTGCGTTTGGGTGGGCTACTCAGTCTAGGGGTTAGTAACCCACCCACAATCAAGTTACTCCAGGGTCTCGGAGGGGCGCTACCTGGAAGGGAGTGAGCTAAGACAGAAGAAGGAGGCCAAGCAGTTTTGTCAAAGCCTCCGTTTATTAGGGTCATGGTTGCTGCTTATATATGGTAAGGAATGGGGGGCAGGGCAAGGGATCTCGCCGCGTGGTTCCGGTCACGTAGGCCAGGCTACACTCGGACAGACAGGCCAGAAGTCACAAGTGGCCACACCTGGTTCCCTGGATAGCTGGAATGTGAGGCGGGTTCCTCTAAGATTAGCAGTTAATTGGGTGAGGGGCAGGTTTTGTCAATAGAACATAACTATGGGTGTGAGGTTCTCTGCAGACTCCCTAGAGTGATGGTTTCTGTAATGATTGTTAGGGGGGAAATGGCTCCTGACAGTTAATTACAGATGTTCTGAGGCCATGTGGCCATAACCCCGCCCCTCTACCAATTTTCCTCAGAGACTGATCCCAGCCTCTGTGGTGCTTCCTGTCTCAGCCATACCGTTGATCAATGGCTCTGATCTTTGTATGTGTCTGGACATTAATTTTCTTGTATCTATTGCTAGAAAATGTATTTTTAATAATTAAACCTGCCTTAGTTAGCTATCATCAAACACCATGACCAAAAGAAACTTGGGGAAGAAAGGGTTGATTTCACTCACTGGGTACTTTTTACTGGCTTGCAACCATGGCTTGCTCAGCCTTCCGTCTGATAGAAACCAGGACCACCAGCCCACAATGAGTTGAGCCTTTTCTCCATCTATCATTAAGTAAGTAAATACCATACTGGCTTGACTACAGCCAGACCTTATGGAGGCATTTTCTTCATTGAGGTTCCCTCCTCTCAGATGACTCTAGCTTGTGTCAAACTGAAATAAAACTAAGCAGTACAACACCCTTCACTCACATGAGTGGAAACCCACCCATGATGTGTCTGCCCTTGACAGCGGCTCAGCATGTGAAGCTTCCATGTCACCTTCACAGTCAAACCTTTCACCTACTGTCCTCTCTCAGTTTCCGTAGGTACTGCAAGGGCTTTCACTGCAAGGGATGGGTTCTGGATGGGGCCTCCTCTTTTGGTGACCATAAAGCTACTGCAGTAGCAGGTTCTGTCTTAGTCTCTTTAAAGTATCTAGAGGAGAATCAGATCTGGTCCTTCTTCCAGGGAGAGCACCATCTAGATGGTCTTGGTAGAAATGGCTGGCGATGCAGTACATGTACTGTAGACTAGTACCCAACAAAACCACTGTTTTGGTGGAAGCAGCCTTGGGAAAGGCTCGTGATAAAGACACTTCGGTTACTGCCTGGGATGTAAGCACTTACAGTGCAGACACTCACTTGCTGATTTCTGTCTTCAGCATCTGCAGTGGTGTCTGTGCCAGGCACACAGTCATGCAGCAAGGCTGCAGGTATGCGAGCATGCTTGTTAGATCGGTGCAGGCAGTTGTACTCGCGAGCCTGGGCAGCCAGCACCCACAGAAAGCTGTAGAACAGGAAGCATCACCTGTCTGGAGCCTGTTGGCCCTCTTTCTGCTCTGATAGAGTTGTAGTTGAGCTTCATGGCCAAGAGGGCAAGGAGCAATTTCCAGAGAGCTTGTTGCCCTCCCTGGGTCTCTCTGTGCAGACAGCCGAGCCTTCTACTGACCATTTTCCTGCTCCTGTCTCTCTGGAGGTACTAGCTTCACCGCATCTACAGACTGGAGGAGGTTGACTGCTGTCAGCTGACCCCCAGGTCGGCCCACAGCCTCCATCTCTGATCTCTTCCTCACTCCCTCCACATAAGATCAGAAAGCTACTGAAGGAAGATAGTCTCCCACCCTGCGCCCCAAGCTAGATGCTATATTGCACGGTCTCCATGGAGCCTCCCTTCCTTATTACTGCGTGGGCTCATGTGATTACAGGGATGAGGACCCAGGGAGATGTCAGGATGCCAGCAGGTTAGCTGAGCTATGCCAAGAACTGTACCATAGTCAGGGCCTAGTGCCAGCAGAGGGGCAGAAAAATAGCTTTTCTTCAAGCCCCATAAGCTTTTAGTTGGAACAGATTCCTGTAACAGATTAACGAGAAAAACAAATGAGTGTGTTGAAACATGTGTTCTCACATGCAGGAGAGACATCCAGGGAACAAGTAGTTTTCAAAGAGTTGGCTTTGAATTCCTGTTTATGTAATATCTTTAATAAAGAAAAGTAATTTTTGAGACAGGGTCTTATGTAGCCCAAACTGGCCTCAACTTTACTATGTAGCTGAGGATGGCCTAGAACTTCTGCTCCTCCAGCTTGAACCTGCTTCTTCAGTGCCTTTAGTTCACTAATCCTTCATGTGTTTATTAAAAATTATTTTATTCTTTTATGTGTCAGGTGTTCTGCCTGTATGTGTGTGCTTGTGTGTCTAGTGCCCAAAGAGGCCAGAAAAGGGCATTGCTTCCCCTGGAGCTTGAGGTGCAGGTGGTTTTGAGCCGCTGCATGCTGCTGGGAATAGAATCTGGGTTCACTGGAAGAGCAGCCAGTGCTCTCAACTGCTACTCCATCTCGTCAGCCCCCACTTCATGTTCTGAGGAGGCATATTCTGGTCTCCCAGGCCTGGAACACGAGAGATATGAGAACTCTGTGAAGAGCTGGCCCTGGCTCTCCAGCCCATATAAGAACAATGTACGCTTTTGTCAGATAAGGGGAGGCCCAAGACTTTCTTCTTCTTTTTTTAAACAAGATTTAATTATTTTATGTATACTAGTGTTCTATCTGCACGCATGCCTGCACACCAGAAGAGGGTATCCCATCTCACTACAGATGGTTGTGAGCCACCATGTGGTTGCTGGGAATTGAACTCAGGACCTCTGGAAGAGCAGTCAATGCTCTTAACCTCTGAGCCATTTCTCTAGCCCTGGCTTTATTCTTGTAGGAAGAATAGTGTGGTTTTTAAAGTACATTTTATTTGTTTATGTGTGCATGCACATGTGTGTGCACTCGTGTGCATGTGTGTGCATGCACACACGTCCATCTATACCTGCCACAACCCAAGTATAGAAGCCAGAGAACAGCTTGTGGGGGACCATTTTTCTCTTTCATCATGTAGGTTATGGGGTTCTGACTTAGGTTGAAAGATTGGTGACAGGCCCTTTTACCTGTTGAACCATTTTGCCAGCCCAGTTTTTTTTTGTTTTTGAAAGGGACTTTGCTTTAAAAGGGACAGAGGGTGGCCATTATCCTCTTCTGAGCAATTTAAAAATTACTTTTATCCCATTGATGAATAATCTCAGCAGCTGTGTCGTCAGACTCTCCTGTGTGCTGCTGCAGATGAGACAAATGGGATCTATTCCTGCCCATGGTCTGTCTGGTGCGGGCAAAGTGGATGCAGAGACTCATCTGTATACGGATGCTCTAGGGGGAAGCACTGGGACCACCCAGACAAAATACCAGGGAAGGCTCCCTGGAGGAAATGAGCTGTCTGGGGAAGTGTGCGATGTTCAGGAGTTAGTTGAGTTAACAAGAGGAAGGGAGTCGTCAGGAAGGATGATTGGGAGGTCTAGGGGGTTGCGGGAGGGCCAGAGGATGGAGCACGTGAGGAACTGAAGGGGCTTCATAGATTCAGAGTCGCCAGTGGCAAGAAAGAGCACTGGGTATGGGCCAAATCATCGGCAGTGAGCTGGCTGGGCTGTGGAGCAGGGTCACCATCCCGGCTTTGTAAGCACTAACTTCACCGGGCTCTTTGAGGTAGGATGTTTGAGCTTCTGCAGCTGCCTTGATAGTCTACCACCCCCAGCCCAGCCCTGTCAGCATTGGGGACACGAGTTTATTAGGGAACAGTAGTACCGGTGATCCTGCCCTTCGGTTCCTTATTCCAGGAGGGGTCCCAGGCCAACATTTCATCATAGACTTCTGCATGTTAAAAACTGAGGTGGCCTTCCTTACCCTTGGGGGACAGAGACCTCTTCTGATGGTGAAAAGAGCATCCATTCAGTGTGGGGCAGAGGGGTATTAGTTCAGTAATTGAGGGGTTGGAGAAAGGCTCAAAGGTTAAGAACGCATATTGCTCTTGCAGAAGACCCAAGCTCAGTTTCTAGAAGCCACCACAAGCCGCTGTAACTCCAGCTCAGGGAAATTACAATACCTCTGACTTCTGTGAGCACAGTCACTCAGGTGCACATACACACACACATGCGCGCACAATTTTTAAAAAGTGGACAATGAAACAATTTTAAATGTCACATTGGGATCATAAAAGATCGTTTTTCATCTGAGGCAGGGCTGTACTGCGGCTTTGGCGCCCAGAGCAGCGTGAGATTGTCAGGGCAGCTGGGACATCGTCTGAAAACCACTCACCCAGTGGCCGTGCTGCACACGCCTGTCCAGCTGTTGGCAAGTGTGCGTGGCTGGAGGAGGGTGGTGATACTGTTACTCTCAGAGTCCCTGAGAAACACTTTACCTTTGCAGGCTAGAAAGGTACTTACCTTGTGTCCCTGCATCTTTGACTCCAGAGATGCTGGGGCAGTCACTTGCTGGATCTGGAGTTGTACCAGGACAGGTGGTCTTGCTTTAGAACAACAGATAAGTGATCTAATCTAAGGCCCAAAATGAAACTTGCACGCGCGCACGTGTGTGGTATGCACACGTATGCAAGCCCTCTGCTCCATTTTATATATATATAAATACATAAGAGGGCAATGGCAGTATCAGGTGAGGGGGGCCACAGTGAAGCTAAGAGAACAACAACAAAACCACAGTGCAGGCTTGACCTAAGTGCTACCTTTCAAGTTATCCAAATTCCTGAGCTGCCTGGGGTTTCTGAGCCTCTCAGGGCCCCTCCTCTGCGGCAAACATTAGCGGGCTAGATTCCTCCTTCACAAAAGCCCTAGCCTCCCACAGCCTCTCTCCTTTGTATCCCTGGGGCCCCTCTGTAACCGTCCCTGTAGCTGGACACTAGCTTCTCTGCATGACAAAGGCCGCCTGGGCCTTTCAGCTCCGGCCTAGAGCAGGAGCCCCCGTTGGTTTCGGTAGGCGGGGGCATTCTGGGAGCCTAGAAGATCAAAGGCCTGTTGGGGAGCCAATCCCCAACAAAGGACCTCCCTACACAGGCTTTGCCTCTCTAGGAATCTGAAAGGAACTGCTGTTGCTGGCTTCCACAGGGATGAATTCCTGGCTCAGTTGGAGGCCTGTGTGTGTGTGTGTGTGGGGGGGGGGGATAAAGGCTCTACTGGCCCTACCTTGTGAAAGTCAAGGAGGAAGGGGAAGTGGCCTGAGAGTGGGGGCCAGCTGAGGTGACAGACCAGCCTCTCCCTGCAAGAGTGCCCCCTTGCAAAGAAAGCCCAGTCTTCACCTCAGAAGACCCTAGGAAGACAGTCACAGCCAGTCCCTCAATGGGAGCTCCAACTCCACTCCCTTTTCTCTGTAGGCATGGTTTGCTGTCTCTGGTGCAATGAAGAAAGGGAGAATATAATGGGCCCAAGGGTGGGAAGCTGCCTGTCCGCCCAGGCCCCAGTCTTTGGTTTTCAGGCTCGCTAAGGAGCCAGGCAGGGTTGACTGATAGAGTCGCCATTCTGTTGACTTCTGAGGATTAGCTGTGGTGACTGGCAGCTCACCAAGGAAGCACTGCCTGCCAGGACACTTGGCAAACCATGAGGCTCGTGTGGCCTTGGCTCTGCCAGCACCATCTTGGGAACCAAAATATTCTTTCAGAAAGCAGAGGGAAGAGCTAGCTGTAGGCCTCTCTGGCAAATCACTGCATGGCAAGAGCGAAGGCAACGTGGACAGCGAGGGACCTTGGTGTCCACTAGGCCAGGGCTCAGCTGTGCACTCTGGTCTGGTGCTAGTTACTCACCTTCTGTGACCTGCACGTGGCTTGAACCTGCACGTGCTCTCTCTCCTGAGAGAGAGCAGAGGGAAGAAACAGCGCCAAGGGCGGGGTCAACCAATGCCATGCCATGTTGTGTTATGGGCTCCTTAGGGACAGCCTGTCCCCACTCTTCCTCCAGGTGTGAGGTTACCCACTAATCTTTCCAGGGACCCCAAACCCTTGTCATGCTGTGCTGCTATGATTTGCTTGTCCTCCCCTTAGAATTGTGCAAGGCCTTGGACACATTCTTCTCTGTACCCAGGCCCTAGAGAGGTCTGTGTGTCTTGAGTCTTACCATTTCCCAGTATTCCTGAAGTACTCTCTCTTCAAGATCTCTCTCTTGCGGTTAAGGAGGAGCTTCAGTCAGTAAAGTGCTTGTCATTGCAAAGGTAAGGACTCACACCTAATCCCCCCTGCTGAACTTCAGGCACTGTTAGGGATGGAAAATATAGTGTCTCATTAAAGGAACAATAATTCTGCCTATCTCTTCAGCATGACTTAAGTTGGCCCTGCTTGGCTAGGCGTAGCCCTTGGCCAGGTCATGGACCCTGAGCCACTCCCAGCAGGCCAGAGACGCTTTCCTCCTGACCAGAAGTTTTCCGTTCTAGCCCCATTACTGCTGCTCAAATGACCTGACCTCTTTCTATCTTGTGAAGGTCACAAACAGCTCTGCTGTGGGCCCCAAACTTGAATAATTAATTGAGTAAGTAATTGTGATTGCAGAGTTCACATTTCTCTTCTGCAGCACACTGGGAGGAGATGCCATTGGTGAACCATTTTCCTTTGGGTACAGTGCCTAGCACTTGTTGGGCTCCTAGCACATAGCTGCAGCTGGGCTCAAATCCCCCACAGTCCACACAAGCTTTTTGGCCTCCCCCCACCACCGCGCCCCAATCAAATTCATGCACCTCTTCTTTTCCGCAGGTAGTGCAGCATCTTGCAAAGTGTAGCTCTGCAAGTGTTTGCTGAAGGCTAAGACAGCATGTTTCTCCAGCCCTAAGACAGCATGGTTCTCCACCCCTAAGACAGCATAGTTCTCCAGCCCTAAGACAGCATGGTTCTCCACCCCAAGACAGCATGGTTCTCCAGCCCTAAGACAGCATGGTTCTCCTCCCCTCCACTCCCACTCCCCAAGACTGTCTCAGTCTCAGTCTGGCTTCCATTCTCAGCTCTTTCCAGCTGCAGCCAAAGTGGCCCTTTGTTAACTCACTGCCAGTAGAACCCTTCACTGACTTGACTGCAGTGAACAATGGATCATGTCCAGAAAACCTGAGAGACCTTTTCTGGGCTCACTCCAGCAGGTTGAGGCCCATGACAGTCCTTCAGCCAGGGATGCAGTGGGTCTCAGTTCCACACATTGACTCTGCATTCCTTCAGCTTCTCCTGTGTTCTCCCCGGCACTGACCCCTGCTCCCACTCGGTGCTCTGCCTGGCCACCCCACCCTGGCTAATCCGTCTCGTGTTTTAGCACATGTAACATCTTCCCCTCCTGTCAGTGCAGTTCACATCCGTGTGCTGCCTTCCATGTGTCTCTTCCCCACCTGGAGGCTCGCCCAGATCCTGGGAGTCTCTGTCACAGCTGAAATGGGAACTCTCCTGTCCCCTTTTTGACTCTGGCTTCTGCACACACCCTACCTCGCAGGTGGGTGCCTCACCTCAGAAACAGAGACTGTCTCTAGTCCATGTCCTCTCTGAAGCTGTTGGGTCCAGCTTCTGTGAGGGTGATTGTGGTTTCCCTACAAGCCAGGCCACAAGGTGTGGTTGTAAAGGTGTGAGACGTGACTTGTTGCTAGTGGCATTGTTGGGAGGGGGAGTTCCTTAGAGTCAGTGGGGCGGGGGCAGGAGGGCCACCTGAAGCTGTTCTGGAATCTGAGACACTTCCTCTTTCTTCCTCCATCTGAGGAGAAGCTCCTCAGAAGATGTTGTTACCGTTCCCCATCACAGACATTGCTGTCTTTTCTCTTGCAGCCAGGAGGCATTCCAGGGTCCGGCCCAAGGTGACTGTCCTGAACTACGCCTCTCTGATGACCTCGGTTGGCCGGCCACTGAATGAGATGGCCCTGACTCCGCTGACAGAGCAGGAAGGAGAGGCGTACCTGGAGAAGTGCGGCAGTGTGCGGCGGCACACCGTGGCCAATGCCCACTCAGACATCCAGCTGCTGGCTATGGCCACCATGATGCACTCAGGGTTAGGAGAGGAGGCTGGCAGTGAGGACAAGCACCTGCTCCTGCCACCCAGCTTCCCGCCACCACACCGCCAGTGCTCCAGTGAACCCAGCATCCCCGACAGCCCCGATGAACTGGAACTAGAGGATGTAGCAAGTGGCAGCCAGGAGGACTCAGAGATGAACTGTGCTTCCCTCAGCTGAGCTGGCACCTCCGGGGTTTCCCCATCCCTGCTTTGTGGCCAGGATGAGGACTGTGTGGCTGTCTCTCCTCCGTGGATCACCGAGGCGCTCTGGCTTTGAGTGATAGTGCCTTATTTCTTAGGGCCCAAGCCGAGTCTCCACGCCCTCAGAAAACACCTGTAAACCTCTCCACTTCGGTGTCTGTGACTAGCTCCTCATGCCACTGTTCTCCTGACTTCCAGCTCACCTACTTCGTCTGGAGCTTCATCTCTGGGCCTTTCCTATCATATTGGACTGGCCCAATGCTCCTAGTATATAATGCTCTGGTGTGGCTATAGCAGAAGCTCGGACCACACGTGAGCATCTAGAATGTGCCAATCTTGGCAGTTCCCCAAATGATCCCATGAAGCAGAAGCCAATGGATAGAAAGAATAGCAGAAGTTCTGTATAGCATGGAAGGTCAACTGTAGCCCATGTCACACATGGCCCTGGGAATGTGTCCTTATCACTTTGGTTGTAGTGACCTTGAAAGCATTATCCTCCTTGTGGGTGAGGATACAGGTGCACCCTTACTTATGTCCAGATGTCATGTGCTGTCTACACGAAGGGCTTTTTAGCCTAGGAGAATCTACCAGACTGGCGCAGCCCTGTCTTGCATTTAGCCTCAGGCTTCCCTCTCAGGCTTTCCCCCCAGACTGCAGGAATGAACCCTCGCAGTCACTGGTGCCTTACTCCTCTAGTTTCAGGAACTGACCGCTTTCCTGTTGTGCATTTGAGAGGCTGGCAGACAAAGACTGACCTAGTCTACCTGGATTTCACTTGAATTTGTAAAACGTGTATTGTTCAAAGAAAAAAAGTTCGCAAATATTTGCACGTAGGACCTTGCACTGTTCATTTCCAGAGGAGTGTCTTTGCAGATGGAACACAAGTGGACCCCTTCAAAAGGAGATGAGGTAGCTCAGAACACAGGGACCCACAGTGGGCGGGATTCACATACCTCAGCGCTGGCTCTGCAGGGGCCTGTGCTCTAAGTGTCTAGGCTTCTAGGGAAGACTGCTGGAATCAGGAGCCTGTCTCTTAGGCATAGAAGCCTAGTAACTAGAATGCATCCGTGGACAGAGAGATAGGCACGTGGACACGTTTTATTTGGAGGAGTGCTTATTCCCTGGGCTTATAGAAGTACCCAGAAGTGTCTGGGATTCCTGTTGTATCCGTCTTGTGATGCTGTTTGAGGCAGCAGGCTTTGTTACTGTGCTAGGTCCTGACTAATATTCGCTCCAGATTGGGGAAAGGTAACTTTTTTTGTCTATGTTGAATCCCTGGCTTCCTCTTTATAATTGTCTTATGGTCTTGCTAGTAGAAGCTTAGAAAAACATAGAAACTTTCTCCTGATCCTTGGTGTGTGCTAACCTCTCAGGATCTGGAAATTTTGTTGATGGCATCTCAGTGCATAAGCCACCAATAGAAGAAGAGGCCATTCACACTCATCTAAGTCTTGATAGTGTCTCCCTTCTGGGCAGAGATCTGAAATATGACCATAGCTGTGCTTTTGATGCATTCTGCTTTGGAATTTTTTTAAAAATATCTTAATTTTGTCCTTCTAAGAGCAAATGACAAAAGAGAGATGTCTGCTTGTCACAGAATTGTCTAAATGTCACACACCTGTGCTCATGCTCTTGCACATACACGTGCACCCATACATGTCCAACAGTGTGTGAACCCATATATGCGTGCACACACATATACACACCACACACATACCATATACACAAAGAGAAATGTTCAAATTCCTTTGAGGAAAAAACATGCAAAAACTAATCTTTCTGTCTGTAGTGTCTAAAGTCTACAGGTGGGAGGCTGAAGAGGTGGGTTGGTGCTCAAGGTCACTTTCTACTCTTGCAGAAGACCAGAAGACGTGGGCCCAGTTCTCAGTACCTACATCAGGCAGCTCACAACCATCGCCAACTCCAGTCCCAGGGGATTGGATGCCCTCTTCTGTCTCCTGGGGGCGTCTGCATGCATACAGTGTGCATATATACACTCAAGACAAACACACGCATGCCCACACACTTAAAATAACTTAAAAAAAAACCTCTCCATAAGTTAATTACCGTGTGTTCGTGGGCAGAACATTGTAGTCTGTTTAACTTAACTGATGGCTGGGTCCTTGTTAGTACACCAAGCACACACTTGAGATTAATTATTGATCCTGGCAAAGTAATTAGTCATGCTTGGGTTTGCTTTTCTCATTGATAAAATGAACAGTGCATGTTTTAAATATGCCTTTTTCCTTATCTTGGATGTCTCTGTCAAGGACAGCAGTTGTCAGTATAATACATGAGCTCTTGTATTGGAAGTGGACAGGCTGTTGAACTCCATTGCTGCTGACTTTAAACAGTTTACAAGTTTCTCTTTGGACACACCTGGTATTTGTACAGACATACCCCAGACTGTACACAGCAACGTTTTACGGCATTTGTGGGCTTTGGCCATCAGACCTATTGCAAGAGTCACCTGTAGAAGCTTTACCCAGGTTTTCTCCCTCTGGTGCCAGGGAGATTTCATCTTGCTATCTATGCCAAGGGTTCCCCTAGGTTGAAGTTTGGTAACCGTATAATCCCAACTCTGGGCTCTGACTGAACTCACAAACTGAACTCCTTTCTTATTGTGTGTTTCCAAAATAGATACAATAAATGTTTTGTTTGTCATGTGTGCTGCGGTGTTGAGTACTTCAGTTGTGTTCTGACTGAATTTGCAAGCACAGTAAAGCTGGCCACGGTGCATTCTCCCCTCAATACTTCCTGCACTGGCTGTGTGCAGCAGGCTCCATTGTCCTATTGCCCTTTTTCTAGAGCCAGGTCCTAGCCTTTGGTTTCATTGGCCAGTCTAGACTGGGTAGGCATGTTTATCTGGAGAAGCAGCTCATCTGTGAACACAAAAACACTAAAAAAGCTCTTCAAGACGTTTTCCTTTCAGAGTGTTTGACCTAGAGGGAATGCTTACTGTGTTATATTTATTATGAGCTCCTCGCATGTTTTTCCTGATTCTATTTGACAGAAGAAATTTATAATGTTTTACTCTCTGCGTAAATACTTTCAGCAGGGCAGTATTGGTTGGAAGGCTCAGCAGGCTTAGTAAAAGCATTTGGAGAGGTGCAGTCTCGGCTGATTAATTACACTCGAGTTGTGCTGGTCATGGAGTCTTTCTTTCAGTGGCGAGGAGAAGGCATAAGCAGAGGAATAGGAACAGTCTCTAGTGCTGCAGAGGCAAGGAGGCATTGTCCCTGGCAGCTCTTTGAAAAGAACGCAGCCCCGACAGCTTGGGTCTAGTCCAGTGAGAACCATGTCAGACTAACACAGTGTATACACGCCAAGTTACCCATCATTCTTAGCGGAAGCTTCCACGGCATAGGCCCTGTTCTTGGCGCTAGGAATACAGTGATGGAAAAATGACCGAAGTGTCTGTTTCCTTGGACACTAGAGTGGTAGGGACCAAGCCCCACGTCTAGTGTTGGAGCATCTTGCTCCAGGAGGCATCCTGACTAATTAGAAAAGGAAGAGCCAAGCAGCCAAGCCCGGAGCTTACCAGCACCTGCTATCAGGTGAGTGATGGTTTCATGGTTTCCAGAGAAGCTGAGGACTGGCCGCTTCCAGAGGACATGGGCAAGAGCGGGACAAGGAGAGTCCAGTGTCCTAAGCAGGGTGGCTGTCCACAAAATAGACTTGGGTGGTTTTCCCCCTCCCCCATATTATTTGTGTAAGTGTAACTTTGAACCAAATACTTAGTAAACATAATAATTATGTATTTAACCAATCATATTATTTGCCATTACTGCCAATAAGACAGCTAAAAATCTATTTTAGACATTTACATTTGGGTGACAGATTTGATTATTCTATTTATAAATCTAGCAGATTTTTTAGCAAAATCTTCCAGGCTGCCTTTGAACAATGCTTAGTCCTGTTTATGAACTCAGGCCAGCACTTCACATATTCTTAAGTGAATGTATAGACTTAATCCACCTCCTTTAAATATTTCTGGTTCATGTTTTGGTGGTAAGCAAAGGCATCCTACTCCATGAAAGCTGATAAACTGAGCTTATGAGGAAATCTGGAAGTCCATCAATTGAGTTTATTCTATTCTATGTAAGCTTAGATGCCACCATAGAAAAGTCTAAGTCAGTTCTCAATTATACATTTTAAAGTGGACTTACAGAACTCTCACTAATGAGCTTTATTCTATTCGATAGCACATGGGTCAAAAATATCCACTACAGACAACCCCAGAATATTAGTCTCCTCTTCAGTCTGGAGTCCGGCTCTTGGGCTCTCTAGCCTTGTGCTATGTCGGCAACTCCGCTTTGCCTCCTCACAGGGTGGTGGTTGACGCCGGTAGCTGCCATTTGTGCGATCCCACCACATTGCTTCTCTGCTGTTTTAATTTCTACAATCTTGCCTTAAACCCCGTGCTAAGATAATGTGAGGGACGGCTCCGCAGTTAAGCTTAACCTGCTTCCTTCTCTTTCAGTGTCCGCGTTTAGTCCTCAGGAACCATTTCAGGTAGCTGTCAGCCAACTGTAACTCAAGCTCCAGGGCATTTCATACCCTCTCCTGGCCTCTGTGGGCACCCGCTCACATGGTGTACACACGCACATGCACACACACTCAGATAGATACATAAATAAATTAGTAAAGTTTATTCTCTGACTAGACCCTGACTGACCAGGATTGAAAACTATATTCCCTGGGGGAAGACAACAGTGTTTCCAGGTAACCAAGGTTACTCACTTGGGTACAGACAGAACTGGAGCCTCCCAATGGATTCTTCTCACCCCACCTAAGGGCTCTTCACAATCTTAAGTAATCTTGGTGACAGCTCCTCAGCATTCTCGAGTTAGAGGTGAAACACAGGTGACATCCATTTGTTCCCAAGAAACAATGGGTCCTATTTATGGCTTATTACTCAACGGCCTCATACCTTAGAAATAGTCTTGCAGGCCTTGTTCCTGGACAGTACACCTGCCCACCTCTTCAGAATGCCTTTCTCACACGTCACTCATCAGGTTGGCCGTAGCTGTTCTGACTTCTCGGGCTCAGTTTCCTGACCTTTGAAAAGACTTCTAAAGCACTGGGAATACCTTCTTCAGTGGAGTTGTGTTCTTATCAGACCCTGGATCCCCAAACTCCTTCAGATACTCAAGACAATGGCATTCTTAGAGAATCCAGTTGGATACTAGTTAAATATCTTAGATAACTTTGTTGTTGTCCGTAACCTCATTCCATTTTCTGTAGACTGATATAGGATCAAGTCTGCTTGTTTGCCAGGAAGAAGGTTTCCTACCTACTTGAGATGGGCTCAATGAATGGAAACAGGGTAAGGCTTTCGATTCTTCACATGGGGCAAAGGCTTGTGTCAGGTTCACTTCCCTGCCAAATAATAATAATGCTAGTAAAAAAAAAAATAAAACAAATGTTTGAAAGAATTGGCAATGTCTCAGTCCAGGTGGGATCTGAGAGGGCCTGGTTACTGAGAGAGTGCAACCCTGTGAGACAAGCTCAGTCTGGTTTGCCCCCAACACATTTATGGGGTGACAGCAGGAAGCAGTGGGCTCTGGACTGAGATGGAAAGCTGTGGAGGAGTTGGAGCTTGAAGATAATGTGATAGAGACCGGTGACTGAAATCCACAGACAAGCTCTCCCTTGAAGTGTTGGCTGATTCCCAGGCACAGAGCATGTTATGGTTAATGTGCCAAATGTCTTCCAAAGGCTGGATGTTGACTCGGTCACTAGCCCCTGGGTCTATTGAGGGACAGGGAACCACTAGGATGTGGGCCCTAGCAGAAGGAAGTCAGAGCATTGCTGGTTATGCTCTTGAATGGGAAACTGGGACTCCAGCCTCTTCATCTTTTTTTTTCCTCCAAGCTACCATTAAGTGAGAAACTTTGTTCCCGCCATGTATTACCACTGTGATGTACTACACACGTGACCATGTGTTGAAGCATCTAGGGTATGAGCCCAGACAAACTTGCCCCCCCACTTTTTCTCAAGTATTTTGTCATAGCAATGGGAAGACAGTAGTACACCCAAAACTACCAGATCTAGCTGACGGAAAACAGTGGCTACGGTGATTAACAGAACAAATTCATCTCCGCTCCTACATAATGTTGAGGAGATTCAGGCCCTACTAAAGCTGGGGGCTTTGACATACATTCTCAGTATTGGATTGAGTCTCACTCTAAGATAGGATCATGGCCAAAACGAGATTCTGGAGTTAAACACAACTCTATCAATAATTACATTAAATGTAAGTGGACTAAACAAGTCAATGGAGAAACAAAAATGGCCAAAGGAGAGTAAAATAATAGCATTTTGTTTCAAAGAGATACACAATTTATTATTTACTTACTTATTTTGAGATAAGAGTCTCACTATGTAGGCTGTTTTGAAGCTCTTTATGTAGACCAGGCTGGCCTTGAACTTACAAAGATATGCCTGTCTCTGTCCCGAGTGATAAATCTAAAAGCATGTGCCACCATGTCCAGCAAGAGACACACTTTAAATATAAAAAAACAGACTGATACTACAATGACAGAAAAATATATAGCATGTAAAAATTACAGTTAGCAAGAGAAAGTTGATGTTGCCAATTAGAAGGATGCAAATTTCATAATGATTAATGATCAATTCAAAAGGAAGATATGAATCATAATACACAATTTAGCATTTATTAGTCTTCAGCTATAGGTCAAGGACCATTATTAAGTATAATATATTAGTTGTTTTGTTTGAGCCTTCTGAGTAATTTTATGAAGCAAGTTTTAGTATCCCAGACTTACTAGATAAGGAAGTTAAAGCCCCAGTTCCTGAGGTCACATAGCTAGACAAAGGTACAGACAAGACATTATTCAAATCTGGCTTTGTCTGAGTTCCTGTGCTTATAGCCACAGTATCGAGACGATATGTCACTCCTGTGAAGACATGTAGGTCAATGGAACAGAACCGAAATGAGAATCTTTTGTATTTACAGTCAACTGTTTCTCCTTGTATTGTTTTTACAAATGTGCAAAGCAGTTGACTAGAGAACGGCTTAAAATAATCCAACAACTCGTGGTTGTTGCTGATACCAAATACTCACATAAGGCAGTGATTGTAGACCGTTGCCAACGCCACACTTACAAATGAACTCAATAGATAAGAGGCTTAACATGAGCGCTAATACAAAACATTTTAGAGGAGAAAGGAGAAAATGATTGAAACAATGAGTTAAGTAAAAAGTTCTTCCAGGCTATAAAGAAACACATCATTAGGCTTCATTAAAATAATTAAGAAGAAAATCGAAAACACTACCAAAACAACAGACTAGAGGGAAATACTTGCAAAATACATATTTGTCAAGGATTTGCAGCAAGACTTACAAAGAATTCTTAGAAATATGACAATAAATTCAATGGGGGGAAAAAGCACAAGTTGTGAATAAAAGTTCACCCAAGAAATCATTTAAATGGTTGGGAAGCTCTCACAAAATGAAGATTGACTCCATTGAGCAGGGGCGAAATGGGAGTTTTAAACCTCAAGATAACACTTCTTACCTACTAGGACAACTGGTTCCATTGCAGAAGACAGACAGTAGCAAGTGCTGGCCAGGAGGTGAGCAAATGGGAACCTTTGTCCACTGTTGGCCAGCATGCGAAGTGGTGCAGCTGCTTTGTAAGT